AAAATATAATCTGGCTGCGTTTAGGGAGACAATTTCCTCTTCCATCCAGATTTACTTGGTATATGTGTTTGCGAGAATCTTCAGACAAAGAATTGGGTATACACTGATTCGAATGGCTTGGCGATACTAAGTGCTTAAGTCTACTTACCGATTACAACATGTTTTGGAAGTATTGAGAAGCGCGCCAAATGAGGTTGTCACAGTGTTCTCGAGCGAACACGGCGCGACCTGGATTGATAAAATTACCATTACATGCAGCTATCATGCCAGTGATTTCTCCTTTCGTCGCATAGTGAATAGTTTGTGAGCACATCCTCGACTCGCGAAACATTTGTCTTGCGCCGCTATAGAAATTGCTTCTCCTGCGAACCATAGGTAGATTTCCCGCTTAACATAATGTTTGATAATTTATGCAAAAGTTGACCTCGTGAAAGTCAGCAGTGCATTAATCGACTCAAAAATAAACAGTCTTCCTACAGGGTTTTGAACACGGTTTTAATTAAAGTACTTTACGAGCGCTGCGGTAGTTGACCGCAAAATTGTTACGGTGATGGATACTCAACTGGATGATTATGTCACTTCATAGCAACCAGACGGTACGAATTTTTTAACTTCCGGAGCGCTGAAGCTCGTAGTGCCGTGACAAGGTCTATTTCTCAGTAGGTCAGATTTACACTGTTAAACTTTGCGCTCTGTGTAAAATGCAGAGCTCTCCTTAAAATAACACCATATTTAACCAAGGAGCTGTGTTATTACTACTGAACTGCAATTGAATTTGCTCTGTACTATTTTAAACTTACGCAAGTGAGGGTTAGTTTCAGTGGTGAAGTGGTTAACGGGTCGGACTGCTTAACGTTTCGGGAGCCCGTTTCTAGAAAGTCGTAGTAGAAAGATTTAGTGAACACTCATACAACGTTAAATGAAGTTGCACGGAAAGGACTGAACTCGACTTCCGGTGCTCAATATTAGCCAATTGCTCGCGTTATCAGTAATCTTTGCAAAATCAAGACTACAGATCAATAACTATATAAACGCATGTACTTGCCACTGTTTCTGTTTCTACTACCAAGAATTTATTTTTTGTCATTCGATCAAAACAAACAACACCTCAATTGCCTTTAAAGTATTTTTCTACGATCCCGAAACGTTATCGGGACCTTCGAGAAAAGCGTGGACAACGGGTTCGAGTCCTGGG